CTGTCACTGTACACAATGTATCCTCGGGGCGGACATCCGGGCATTTTCACCGCCTGGCAACCCGCGGCGGTGAAAACAAAGGCCCAAAACTCGCAGAAAACGGTACTTTGGGGTGATTGTTGAGACTCCTCTGAACAGTGCAACAAGATTAGCCCTACGTGTGTAACATATATAAATTTGATTGTTATGGATTACTTCAAAGTTGAGTTTGTATTGTTTTCTCGAATTTTCACCGGCTCGACCGGCGTTCCACAGCAGCGCGCACAGAGCCCATAGAAATGCATGGTACAGTGGTGCGCGTCTTAGCAACGTGGAACGTCTGTGACGTAGCTCCGCCCCCGAGGATTGTGATGGGTATGATGACTTAGAGGGCACCCTGTCACTGTACACAATGTATTGTGATGGATATGATGACTTAGAGGGCACCCTGTCACTGTACACAATGTATTGTGATGGATATTGACTTAGAGGGCACCCTGTCACAGTACGCAATGTATTGTGATGGATATTGACTTAGAAGGCTAGATCAAATAATATCTGATTTCACTGTATCATATCATTAATCACTAGACTAACCAAACCATAGACCCTTAAAAAAAGAGGGATAAGCAACTTGTCAATCTTCATTGTACGACGTTACTTTGCATAATTATTAAATGGATTACTTCGTACTTATATAACTGCGCACTACAGAGAACAAATATATTCATTATGTGACTACTGTATTATTTGAAAAGTAAAAAAAAATGCCCTCCAAGAATAACTATTATGTTGCAAGCTCTGCTTTGTCTGCATATCAATTCAAATAGTTAGTTGGTGTCCAGTGGAGAGAGAAGTCAACAATACTGTTGGTGTCCAGTGGAGAGAGAAGTCAACAATACTGTTGGTGTCCAGTGGAGAGAGAAGTCAACAATACTGTTGGTGTCCAGTGGAGAGAGAAGTCAACAATACTGTTGGTGTCCAGTGGAGAGAGAAGTCAACAATACTGTTGGTGTCCAGTGGAGAGAGAAGTCAACAATACTGTTGCCTCCTAAGAATCTAAATCTTCAAAAATTGCAATCTGTACAGATTACATATTTTTGAGTGCAATTTTCCTTTTAAAATATGTATGCAACATTTTGCTATTTATATATGTTTTTGTTTTGATAACTTTGGACTAAACAGACATAATTTTCTAACGACTTCAGATCTTGATCAAAAGTTTGGCATCCAAAGGATTATTCATAGGAGAGTTTATATCGATTATGTCTTGTTTTCTGTTAAGATTTTATTGGTATGTTTAACAATTATTAACGACAACAACAACAACGACGACAGACATTTTTTTTTATGAAACGAGCAAGATAAAAACAGGCAACCTATACGCAGTTATTTTACCACCAAAATGACCAAAAAATAGCTAAATATTCATTTAATGTCTGATTTAAGAATGTAGCAGAAATTTGTTATTGAAAAACACGGGACAAGCGACAAACTAAGAGCCATAGATGATTGGTAGTAAGCCATGCTAAGTTGTTAGTTGTTATGTAATGAATTATATCACCACATGTAAGTGCACATTACAATATAGAAGTTAAATACTACCTGAAGGTTTGAAAACACGTTGAAGCAAGATTTCACAAATACAGTTCAGACATGGATGCAGAGTAACAAAAACAGAGCTGGCGTCGCAACAGTATTAAAGAAGTATCTGCTCAGTGTCTGCATTGTGACGTCATTCGAAAGTCTGCTGGATGCTCTTACTAATTACGTATGCAAAGCAGCATTGTACATTAGTCTATTGTCTTTTATCAATGTTTCTTATCCCTCTTTTTAGGGTGCAGCAAACCTAACTTTTACATGTAAGTAGCAGAACAGACTATGCGCAAGTATTTTTCTGGATTAGAGCTTTATGGAATATTCTATTCTAAAGTATCTCACACGCGCACAAACAAGCAGGTAGGCAGGCAGAGGCACTGGTGTGTGTGGGAGATGATCACTTACCAGTAGTTCCTTCAGTGTTGGCACATTCAAACTTCGTCTGATGGCATGGAACGCTGTATGTGCATTGTAAATCAATGGCTGCTGTGGTGCTTGCGATGATGATGATGATGTAGGAGTCTGTTGCATTTCATCGTTCACCTCTGTACCTTTAGATGCTAATTCAGCCCTCTTTGTTGCTGCCTCCATCAGTGCACGTTCATTACAGTGCTTTTCCTAATATGTTAGGTTAATTGAAGAAATAGATCAAGCATCACACCCAGCCAAACAGTTTAAACCCAATATTTAATGTTGTAAATAAAACAATTTACTCAACTCAGCATTAAAAAAGATAGCTTCGCTGTTAGCAATGGACATTTCAATTAAAGAACAGAATATATCATTAAGAAAATGAACAATATGTAGACTTGCTGTTTTTAACAAGAATTCAAAAATATCACATTTTACCAAAAATCACAAAAATAATCATCAAAATTAGAGAATTAGTAGTCATTAATTTCAGTTCAATTCCTAAGTAGTGTTTCACATCCAACTACAAAAACAGCATGCATGTACCAAGTGTTAACCCATTTAAGTAAACAAAACATACTGTAGGGAGTTAACTGTTATGCAAATCAGATGAGGTCCGAGTTAACTTAATCACAAAATATCTGTAACAAATTGCATGTACCGGTTACACGAGATATTGATGGAACAAGACACGCACATCCGTGCACCCAATTGGTATGACAAACATCTTTTTTGTGCCCTCCAACACACATGAAACAAAAAGTAATGCACAAGAGATTCTCACACCAATATTATGTGAGAAATATTTCCACAATGTACACTCACCTGTATATGACTGACACATGACCATATTTGCCGTCGTATTCGGTCACAATTTTGCCATAAACACACACCTTGGTATTCTTCCCGAGATACATGGCTTTTGATAACATGGCTATACAAACCCTTTGGTGAATTGAAAGCTCTGAAAAAGACATTGCATTATGTCAACATTTTTTTGTTATTTATTAGGTAAAATGTGGAAAATGTGGTTATGAAAATTGTTTACTCAAGAAAGTTAATGATCCATTTTGTTTGTACTCTTTACTTAGTGAACTGATGATAAATCCAACATTTTTAAACCAAAGATTGTGAAAATTATTCTCCAAAACAATAATATACAATGAGAAGTCAATGATGACTGCATTATCACTGCACAAAAAAGTTCCCATAAATACAGCAACATATCTCAGCAATATTTGGCAAGAAAAATACTAGCGAATGTGTTCAATTAATATGTGTACTGTATTAATCTCAATGAATAACATAAATTGTATTCCCTAATATAACATACCGTACAAGAAAAATACTCGCCAGATTTGGCAGAAAAACTATACTGTACTTTTTATATTTATACTACAATAATGAAACATATCAGTTTAATACACTTATCTAATTGATAAATCTTGGAGAGCATATTGTTAATTAACATCCAATTCTCATTTCAGCAGTATGAATACCTTCACGGTCAACTTATTTCTTCAATAACAAATGTTTCATTCAGCCAAATTTTATCCCATATCTTGAAAATTGCACTTACTAATCATAGCAAAATGGTTTACATTTTTAGTGACTAATAGATAAAAATGTTTGAGTCATTGTAACCACAAAGACACTTGAAGTGAAATTTAAACAATATCTGGAAAAATATTACATAGAATATATATCAAAATATAACTTGACGAAGGTGCCAAACTGGTTAACATAATATCAAAGTTGAAAGACATTAAATATAAACTGTTCTTCTAGTTACTGTAACCACAAAAGATTGACCATGAAGTCAACAACGACGAGGGTAAACATTATACCCTCACGTAACTCAACCTTCATATACGATGATACAACAAGGTAAAAAGTTTGGATTATGTGTGTAACAGGTAATAAATTCATGTAATTGCAGATGACAGCAATGACCTGTTTAAATGTGTCAATTGAAGTTGGTATGGTAAATAGTTTGGAGATTTATGACCATTTTTCCCTTACTACAAAATTAACATGTCTGAACTGATCAGTTATGCCATGGTAATTTTCTACTCATTTTGACAAGGAAACAGATATTTTAGGAGCACTAAGGGCAGGTACAGCACACCGTATTAAGAGGTTTATGTCCCCTTGAACTGGATGAAATGCTGTAAAGCCCGATGGGCTCTAAATACTGAGCAGCAGCAGACGAGAGTTGAATGCACAATCACCCTGATGCTTGACAGACACACTAATCATTATGCTTAGCGCTAGATAGAAATGTCATTAGTACTAAAAGATGCTGTCATTAATAAATCATCAAACTATGCACTTTATACCAAACTGACTTAAGGTAGCAGAATAGTTTTTTGGGCACTTTTCATATTTTTTTTTGAAAAACACACGAATAGCTCCCTAAGGCATGCTACATACATTGGTGTTTTTATTTTATTGAAAAAAAATATCTTGTACAAGTAAACTGATTTTTTTCTTGTGTGCAAACAAATGGCCAAGTTTTTGTTTATCCAGTGTACACCCAACTAGTGCATCTCATTAATATGCATGGTTTACAAACATAACTGAACTGAGGGTAAATAGTTTTAAGTTGAGCCACTTTCTTTATTTGCTATTTACAAACAACTGATAAGATATCTGTTTGTAGTTTACACACAGCTGATAAGATGTGTGCACTGCTGCCTTTCTAGACAGGAAGTACAGCAAAGACAAAACAATCGCGTTTGAACAACAAATTTTGAATAAACAAAAAAGTACATGAATGTACCACTTCAATGTAATTATATGTTAACAGAATAAAAACTTACAATAAATTTCTGTAATATTTTTTCTTGACTTTGTCATTGAAAGGTATCTGACCACGGGGTTACTTTCTTAGTCCAGAAGTAATGCAGTTACATTGGGCAGGGGCTCCCTTTTACAAAATATGGTTGCAAACAATAAAATACGGCCATCTGTGGTGGCTATGCATTGCATGAAAATTCTGATAACAGGCCAAAAACTACATGTAAAGGTTGATCAATGATAAGAATATGCTTGGACCTAGTTTATATAATCCATTTTTCAGAGGAGTTTTCACCAAGTAGGCATACTTGCATGCTTAGGTTTATCTAAATTCGTAAATTATGTTACATGTAATAAATCTGTCTGATAAATACTTGGTTGTTTTATCTAATGTGCTCATGCGAACAAAATGCACGGCAACGAAATAGTAGCGTGCGAGACGGCGAGATTCGACTCGTTGACATGTCACTGTTGAATGGCGCCCTAGAAAAAGAGATTTGTCAATTTTGCAAAGTAGGCAATATCTCAATAGTGGAGCGCAGGCGTCACGGTCTAGGCAGTCAGTTTGAATTTCTTTGCACGCAAGGAGATTGTATTCGATCGAAACTGAGCCAGCCTAGCTTCCCGTCATCCCGAAAGAAGGGGGCAGTTTTCGAAATAAATAGAAAAGCTGCCATTGGAATGCGAGCGACTGGAAAGGGACGGCGCGCTCTGGTGAAACTGTCAAGCTATTAGGGGTTACCTCAACCAGTAACGGGTCCACACTTTCGCCAGTATGTACAAGCTGTCTCCAGGAGACTTTGAAACTCGTGACATGCTTGAACTAATAAGTTTACAAACACAACGGCCCAAAAATAAATACACTGTATTTGCAAACACTTCAACTGCCAAGTGTAGTGTCTGTATTGTTTGTTACTCGCAAACAGAACCGCCCACTTTGCATAATCCAAGCTTTAATGAATGACGTCACCGTTCGTTATCAGCACAGACCGTCACAAAACTCCATAGCGTGAAAGAAA